CCCCCCCCGACTCCGAACTTTCCCCCCCACCGATTTCCCATCCCGGCTCCGCTCCATCCCGTCCCGCTCCGTTTCCCTCTACGTTCCCCACTACGTTTCCCGCTCCGCCCCTTTACCCCCCGTCTCCGATCCTGATCCCTCCCCCACCACCCCGCTCCTTTCCCCGCGCGATCTCCCCCGCTCCCCTTCCCGCGCGCGACTCACCTCACCGCTCCGCTTCCGTACGCGACTTCCCCTCCACCGTTCTCTCCCCAGCTGCACTCCGATCCCGATCGGATCTTCCCACCCCCGGCCCCACCCCCGCCCGACGACCCCGACCAGGACGAGCACCTTCCGTATGCTCCGCGAGTCGTCGAGCGCTGAGGAGGGTACTGGTTCGGACAGATCCCATAGCGACCCGGACCATGAACATGACCCCCAGTCCCTTGTGGATGGCGATGACCCCGACCAGGACGAGCACCTCGTCCGCGCCTTCTCTGCTTTCCTGAGGCAGCGCCAGTCCTCCTCATCGAGGACCCGCTCTTCCGCCACGCAGCTACCCCTCCCATCGGCCTACGCCTTTTACCGTGCCCGATTGACTATCGAGGAGAGTGAGGACTTTCGTGCACGAGGTATATGTACCCGTTGTCGCCAACCTGGTCACACTCCGTCCACCTGCCCCTACGCCGACGCCCTCCAGCGTCACTTTGCTCAGCTGTCCCACCCTCATCCTGACCCCCCCGCCTCGACCTCCAGCTCCGCAGCCACCTAGCGGCGATCTCCCGCTCCCCTGATCCTCCCACAGTAGCAGGCATACCCGCCCGCGATTCTATCTTCGCGCCGCTTGCTACTCTTTCTGAGGACTCAGACCTGACTTCATCGTTGGTCGCTTCTAGCGTCGCTGACCCACCCTCCAGTGCCTCCACTTCTTCCCTAGCCTCATGATCCTCCTCCTCCTCGTCCTCGTCCTCCTACTAGGCGTGCTCTTCGCACGGCGCGCTGCAGTGCTTCCCTTATTGCAGCCGAGGATATCATCGACTTCCTGGACCTTGAGTGTGTTAAGGTCCACCAGGAACGTCTCCGCCTTAAAGAGCGCACCCTGTCCGTGATGTCTCAGCGCCTACACAATCCCGATCGCACCTTAGTACCGGTTATTCCAGTGCGCCTCGGGACCTCTACTAGAGTGTATCGCGCACTATGGGACTCTGGCTCTACTGGCGACTTCATTCATCCTCACGTAGTTAAGGAGGCATCCCTCTATACATCCCCCTACCCTTCCACTGTCACCGTCACGCTTGGCGACAATCAGGCCAAATCCTTCGTCGATTCGGTGGTGCCTGATCTTCCATTCTCCTTCCCCTTGCGGATGCCCCACAGCCTTCGCAAGGCCCCTCGGTTCCATGACAAGTGGAACTTCGATGCCATGGAAACCCTATTTGATCATGTTCTTGGCACTGCCTATTCCCATCAGTTCGCTCATGCCGGCCCCGATTGGACCCACAACGATCTCGTCCTCGACACCAAGGATGGGAAACAATACCGTATTCCGTTGTTGGGCAAATCGGACTCTACACTTCCCCCCTCTGTTAATGTCACTGTCTATACACCTACCCAGTTCCACCACCTCTTTCGTGAGCCTGATGTAGAACTTTATGTTGTCGACATCACGGATCTCCTCACCTGCAACCCCATGCATCAGGACATTGAGTTGGTCGAGCTCGATCCACCACCTCCCGAGCCCCCGACCCTCCTGATTCCTCAGCTTCTTTAACCTCCTCTACCCCTCCTAGCCCACTGCACTTTCTCGCTTCCCTTACCACTGATACACCCTCAGTCCCTACCCCCATACAGACCCCCTCCACCTCTGCTTCAGACGCTGCCGCTGCCAAGGATTCAAGGAATTTGACACCCTTCTTTCTTCCTTGTCGCCTAGCGTTGGTGCCCTCCTTCGTGAGTATCACGATGTTTTCCCACCATCCGTCTCCTACAGCAGCATTCCTCCCATGCGTGGTATCGAGCACCACATCCAGCTCGAGCCCAACTACCGCATTCAGAATCGCGCCCCTTATCGCCTTTCGGTTCCCGAAGACCAGGAACTCAAGCGTCAACTTGAGGAGCTGCTTCGCCAGGGCTTCATTAAACCGAGTACTTCCCCATGGAGTGCCCCGGTCCTCTTCGATCGTAAGAAGGACGGCACTCTTCGTCTTTGTATTGACTACCACGGTGTGAACCACTACACAGTCAAAAATAGCTATCCCATGCCTCGCGCGGATGACCTGTTTGACCGCCTCTCCGACCACCATTTCTTCATGAAAATCGATCTTCGTAGCGGATATCACCAAATCTGCGTAGCCGAGGAGGACCAGCCCAAGACCGCTTTTCGTTCTCGTTTTGGGCACTACGAGTTTACCGTCATGCCTTTCGGTCTCCGTAATGCCCCCGCCACTTTCCAGACGGCTATGAAAACGATGTTCCAAGACCTTCTTGAGGACTATGTTCTAGTCTACATTGACGACATCCTGATCTACAGTCGTACCCTAGAGGATCACCTGACCCACCTTCGCACTGTCCTGCAACGACTGCGCGACCACGGGTTCTATGCGAAGCTTTCCAAATGCAGCTTCGCTCAACCCAAAGTCGATTTCCTCGGGCATCAGGTCTCCGA